TTGAAAAATTAATTATTCAATTCCAATAACTTTGGCTCATTGGTGACTATGCTCCTATGAGTTTAAACTGGATACTTGGATTAACTTCTCAGAAACACTTTCACGTCAACATGATATACTTACATCTCACATGAAATTATTTTCAAAAAGCTAATCCAAACAACTCAGTTCCTCAAATTTTAATCATTTAGTCTATTGTTCTCTAAACTTTATAATTTATTATATCTTAATTCTTAGAAAAAGAGATGCTTTTCTAAAAGTTTGAATTGCAACCTATTGAAAAGCTGAAATTTAAGGAACCAGCTGGTTAGGATGATTTTTTTTTTTGGGGCCTGAGCTAGTTTGGATTAGTTAAACACTGTGAAACTATAATTAATAGAATGAAAATTATAGAAGTCAAATAATATATTTTTTAACAAACACTTTGTTTCACATTTTTATGTAGAAAGCTAATATCGTGAATTCCGAAACTTTAATGCATGGTCATTTGTGCCAGTTGCCAAATTTTGTCGTGGCTCATTTGATCCGTGAAGGTGGACTTTTTCTTTTTTGACCAAACAGGTGGACTTCACACTTGCGTAAACGATTCCGTTTATTTCTAATTCAAAGCACGAACTATTACCAAAAAAAAAAAAAGCACGAACTCTTTTCTTTTTCTTTTTTTGGGTAAAAAAAAATATCACGATAAAATGTTGCGCACTGAGAAAAAATTCAAAACGAAACAAAATTGTTTTTAATATACCATCTCTTATTTTTAATATAAGAGTTAAATAACTCATTTATAAATATAAAAAATAGTTAAATTAGTTATTTATAATAAATATGTATTTTTTTATAAAATATTCTTATTAATTATGTGTATTATAATGAAAAACTTTTAATATGTTCAATCATTATGAGGACTGCTTTAAAAAAAAAAAAAAGAGATAAAACAAGGAAGAGTCCTATGCTTAAAAATCTTTTCTTAACTCTTGTATTTAGAGCACGAGACAATTTTTTTTTTTGGCCAAAATATGCATGGATGTCTAGCGGAGAATAAGTCTCAAGCGATCTCCAGATAAGGTATGATCAAATCAGTCAAATCAAAGAAAACTTGCTTACGATTTTATTTGTGGGAGTAAATAATATCATCAGCCATATTAAATGTGAACTTTGAACCAACGCTAGATAGAAAAACGGACTGGAGAGAGTGATATACAAGAGGTAGCGGTGAAATACGAAAAGACACTTAATCATCGTTTCAACTAGATATAATAAAAGCAAGAAAACTGGAAATATTTAGATGAAAAAAACAAAATAAAAATCGGTCTTTTGACACCATCATCTACAAATCAAGGCCAGCTGTTCAATTGTATGGAAGAGAAACAGCGATTCCATAAAAGAGGGAAAAATTGTTTTGAGTGGAAGAGCATAAAAGCCTCGAATTAAGACCAGAGAGGAAGAAAAAAAAGAAAGAAGGGACTGAATAATAGAGAAAGGATGCGTGGTGCGGTTGTTGCCCAATAGCTCTTGGATATTTTGACAAGAAAAAAAGAGGAGATGAAGATAAAAGTGATCTGTAAATGTAAAGAGGAAAAAAAATCCTTATTAAGGATAAAAATGAAGAAAACTGTCAATTTAATATGTTTCTTGATAAATCGGAATTACATTGCTTTTACATGTTCACTTGGAATCTGTCTACTAAGAAACTTAATGGGCACGTTGCTTATGTTTGATTTCTTTCCTTTTGGTACAATGCTCATGTTTGATTTTGTTTTCATGTGTTTCTCTTCATTTTTTTCTATATTCAATCGTGTTTGCAGGTCTTCATTCAGAGCTTATTACAGTAATGAGCACCATGCATCACTGTAATAAAATCTAATTTATTCAAAAATTAATATGTAACTTTCAATGATCAATTTGTTTTTTTAAAGAAATATTAATTATAAGATTATCTTTACTTTGAATTATGTATCTGTAAAATAAAAAAAATTAAAATATATATAAAAAACTGAATTCAATATTTTTTTCTTGGGTTGCCTGGAGTATCTTCCCACCAAACGGTGAGAGACTAATCTCTTGGGGTACCGTCAGACGTCATAGCGAGGACTCCTCCCAACAGTATTTTTTTCATAGATATCGTTCTAAGGATCGAACCTAAGACATAATCTTTAAAGTATCCTAATCCCTTCTACTTGGACCAACACGTAACTGAATTCAATTTAAAACACAAGGAATATGCTCCCATCTCCCATATTAGGCCCAACTTGATCTGATCATATTGGGTTAAACTGTTATTGTGACCATAGTCAGACGCGAGTTCCAATTAAGATGGGTATTAAAATATAAGGGATGCAACCAGGCCCGGTCCATGTAATCGACACTGAGAGATTGGGCTTCTTTCCTCACTACATCACATCTTCATTTGAATATGAAGCTGGAGAACGACAATGTCATCTCATAATCTTCATTTAAAGAGTATTAAAATATGAGTTAATCTTCATTTAATGAGTATTAAAATATGAGTTAGAAATATGAAAAAATTAATTATGAATTATAAGAGTTAAATATCATTATTTTATTATTTATGCTTGAAATTGTCATATCACACCTGCTTGAATTAATATTTTCGACTCATCTCTTAACCAGCGATTTTTATTTAAAATTGAAGGAAGTGCAATTGAATTACGGACAGAACAAATGCACCATTCAACTTAAATTTGGGAAATGACAATTTAGTTTTATTGAAGCAAAAGAATATTTTATCATATTTTCTTTTAAAATGGAAATTTTAACACTCGTTCAATGTTAATAATTTTATTTTGGCCTAATTGGGTGGCCGCCTTGCTAAAAATTGTAACAGACCGGACCACTTCCTAAAAAAATGCTAAAATAATTATGGCTAATTAACAAATTCACGAGTCTTTTATTTATACAAAAACCACCGGTAATAAATATTCATTATTCCAATTGTAAATTTGTTTAATGTGAATGCTAAATACTAGACAGTTAAATACATGTTTATGTAAATGATAAATTTGAAGATCTTTTTGATAATTAAGTTATGAACTTTTTTTTTCATTATAATTCTCCCAAATGCTGAATTCTTGACCAGTGCTTCATTATTCAAGACGAATACTCAAAAAACGTGCTTAATCCAAAAAAAAAACAAAGGTTTGTTTAGAATGGCTTATAAGTAGTTTTTTAATCATAATTTATGAAACATGAAATAAACATGTGAAAAAAATTGTGTCTCAATTTATATGAAACGTACTTATAAATGATTTTAATCCTGATATTAAATAAAACCTAAAGACTCAGACCTGACGTGACCAACTAATGCCCTCATGCTTATGGGGCTGCTCTTGGCAATGGGCCTGAGTATAGATAAATGATCCGTGGCGCATGAGTTCAGCACTAGGAATTTCGCCCTCTCACCAGCAAGGGAAGGGATTCAATTTTCAGCCGCGGCGTTTGAGAAGACATCTTAAAGGATCATATGATAAATCAGTATTTAAATCTCCATTCGAGAAGGTATTCACATATAATGCGTGCAATGTTTAAATAAAAGCCAACTACGGATGGATCATAAAGTTTATAATAATTTATAAGAAACAAGAATGAGAATCATTGTAAACTAGCAGTACAACCATAGAAACCTGCAGATTACAGCAAGAAGCAAAGCAATTGATGGCAGGCACGCTACCTATCTTTTCTACACTGCTCCCAATTACCATATTCGACTCCCTGCATCCTACTACAACAGCCTACTATCCCTATTTCCTTCTTTGTTTTTTTTTTTTTTTCCTGAAAAATCTTTGTTCTTTATAGATTTGAATAGTATCTTTGTTTCGTTTCATCTGATGCCCGTATCATTATTGTCGATTTTACGGCACATGCAGGGATGATTTGTGAGTAAGCAAACCTATGACATCTGAAAGTTTCATACTTCTAAAGTCTAAACCTCTTAAAAGTTTGTCAGGCCAGAAGGGGGAAAAAAAAAACCTCTTAAAGTTTGTGCTCCGAAAATTTTCTAGCCGTTCCTTCATTTTTTAAAAAATACTAATTTTTTTTAGAAAAAATGATAATAAAATACTTTCTGAATTTTAAAATGACAAATAAAATATCTGAATAAATAAAATGACAAAGAATGCATCAGCTACTAATCTGGAATTTTGATTTTTGGTCTCAAAACATGTTACAAAACCCATTGACAAAGTAATAACTCTCATTATGAAATTTGTAAATCCTATTATTTATTTTGTAAAATTCAACGTGAAATTGTATTGTTTTTTACAGAAAAGTTGCCCAACCCCTCAAAACAGGTTGCAAAACCCATTGACTAAGTAGTAAATCTCACTATGAAAGTTGTAAATCCCACTATGTGTTTGTAAAATTCGACGTGGAATTATATTTTTTTTTACAGAAAACTTGCTCAGCCCTTCAAAACAGGTTGCAAAACCCATTAATAAAGTAGTAATTCTCACTGTGAAAGCTATAAATTTTACTGTGTGTTTTGTAAAATTCAAAATCAAAATTTCAAATTAGTACCTAATACCTTCTTTGTCATTTTGTTTATTTAGATGTCTTATTTGTCATTTCAAAATTCAGAAGGTATTTTATTATCATTTTCCTTTTCTTTTATTCCCAAAAAACCAAGTATTTAACTCTATATATTTTTGGTAGAACTATATATATATTTTTGAATGATTAACTATATATTTTCGATAGCCCACAAATGAACTGTGTAACCATACAAGAAACTCCCATCATATTAGCGAAAAACTCCTTTGAAACGTTTTCATTGTTCGATAATGCTATTTTTTGTCAATAAAATTTTTATGTAATACTTTGGAAATATGTGAATTATTAAAATCAGGTTAAGCGTAATTTAATTAAATTTTACAAAATTAAACACGCTGTGAGGGATAAGAACGAACTTTTAGCTGAATAAATAACATGGAATATATTTTGGAGATAAAACTTGGAAACACTCCAACATGGTTAGTGCAGGACAGAGGGGCGATCAAACCTCTTGTCGTGAAGCCATGCCCACGGCCATCAAGGACTCGGACAAGACGGCCAAAACAAAACAGTGAGAATTCATAGGATACGCACACAGCACCAGAAATTTCATTCACCCACGAGTAAACAGATAAACAAGAAGGGGAAAAAAAAAAGAAAAAGAAAAACAGAAATCGAAAATACGAGCTGATGATGATGATGATAGGAGAGAGAAAGAGGGAGTTAATTAAGTAGGAGAATTTAGAAAGTGAGAGACTGGAAGAGAGAGAGATGAAAAAGGCCGAAAAAGGTGGGGAGGGAGAAGCGGAAAAGGAGGAAAATTTAGGGGAAAAGTTGAGGAGAGGGGTATTAGCAGGCAAAAGAGCGGGCCCTGCTACTCCAGTGCTCTCCTGGAGGCTTTGGTTTTCTCACGATACCATCATTAAGGATCACCATCTCCATCTCCATCTCCATCATCATCACCAACCTTCCTCCGTCTCCGCCAGGAAGCTCGCCTCTGCTCTCTGGGAGTTCCACCACTACTACTTCCCAATGCATCGCCCTTCCAACAACGGTGTTTCTTCTGATCCTAGACTTCGCCGCCACCATCACTACCATCTCCACAAGGACAACCCTCCCACTCACCTTACCTCCTTCTTGCCTGATGCTTCTCCCAGTTCCCCTGATCAGGCACGCCTTCTCTGTCCTTTCCTCTCCTTGATTCCCTTATTTTGATTTCTGGGTTTACACTCTTCGTTTCTGAGGTGTTGGACCGGCTTTGTCTCGCAGGCCCTTGCAACAGTTTCCGACCTTGTGTTAGAGCCGAGTTGCCAGTGGATAAATCTGTGTGTTAATTATATGTGTCCCCCCGATTTATGTTTCTTTGTCTTTTTTTTTTTTTTTTATGTTTGTGGATTTTTAGTTAGAAATACTTTTCCTCTATGATTGATGCTGAAATGTTGCTTCCTCGAGCATTCAATTTGCCTGCTCAAAACATAGCAAGGCTTTCCCATTCCGCTAATATTATATTCATTGACATTGGTCTCGAAACTGAGGGCAGATTATGCCATCTTCCAATTTAATGCAGTTTAGTGTATTTTCCTGTAAATTGATCTAGTCAAATTTCAATTTCAAATCCTTAAATAGGTGGGGAATTTCTAAACCAACCGTAATGATGTAATTAAAATCAAACGCTCGATATGTTGCATTATCAGTAAATGCTGATACATTGCATTATTTAGACATCAAAATGACCTTCAAGGAAGAAGCCAGTCTTTCTTGAAGATCAACTGATGATTACCTTGGTCTCACTAACTGAAAATTCTGACCTTGTACTGTTCCTTGTAGAAGTGTCTAAAATGAATCTTGTGCATGTAATTGAGCTGGCAACGCTCAGTGAACCTTTTCAATCATTCAAAAATAAAAATATCATTAACGCTGTTCTTCAACTGATGTTTCGGTGTTTTCCCATCAGCCAGCCAGTGCAAGCAGTTTGAGGAGGCATGTCGCAGCATCCCTGATGAAGCATCACCGAGCACTTGAAAGAAACAATCATGCATTGCAACCTGTATCACCGGCAAGTTATGGTAGTTCCATGGAGGTAAGCATCAGTTCGCTTTCCCTGTTTGTGTTCTTCTACAATGCCGATGGACTGATTGTTAGAGCTGCCATGTGAAAGACTGATTTCGACTTAGGATCTTCACAACGACATCCTCAAATATTGTTTTGTTGAACTATAAATAAACTTGACATCTGTCAAGAAATTTGGTGATTTTATTGATGATAATGGTACCACATATCAGATTTAAATCAACAAGTAAATATTTTCTAGTACTTCCTTTTCCATTACAAATGACTCATAATTAGAACAGCTTGTTATGGATTTTATGTTGACGATTTTAATGATTACATATTGGCCAGCTTTACCTATTGAATAACATGCTTTTTAATATTTTTTTAAAAAATAACGGTGAACATGCTACCATAACTTGAGGATGATGGTCAATTTTGTACGGCAATAAGTGTTGCATTTTGTTGCTGCCCTTTTCTTGCAGATGGCACCTTATAATCCTGCAGTTACTCCTACGAGCTCCTTAGAATTTAAGGGAAGGGTTGGGGATCAACATTATAGTCTCAAGACATCCACCGAACTCCTTAAAGTGCTAAACAGAATCTGGAGCTTGGAAGAACAGCATGCATCTAATGTTTCTCTAATAAAAGCTCTCAAAACAGAACTGGACCATGCACGTCTCAGAATCAAAGAGTTGCATCGAGATCGGCAAGCAGATCGACATGAGATTGATGAGTTGATGAAGCAAATTGCAGAAGATAAACTGGTTAGAAAGAGTAAGGAACAGGACCGACTACATGCTGCTGTTCAATCTGTGAGGGATGAACTAGAGGATGAGAGGAAACTGCGAAAACGATCAGAGAGCCTGCACAGGAAGTTAGCCCGAGAGCTGTCTGAGGTGAAGTCCTCTCTTTCTAGTTCTCTGAAAGAGTTGGATAGAGAGAGAAAGACAAGGGGATTATTGGAGGACCTCTGTGATGAGTTTGCCAGGGGAATCAAAGAATATGAACAAGAAGTGCGTGCTCTGAAACAGAAATATGACAAGGATTGGGCTGAAAGGGCTGATGATGATAATTTAATTCTCCACATATCTGAATCATGGCTAGATGAACGGATGCAAATGCAATTAGAAGCAGCTCAGAATGGTTTTCCCGACAAGAAGTCAATCGTGGATAAACTAAGCCTTGAAATAGAGACTTTCCTTAAAGCTAAACACAATAATAGGAGCACGGAGAACCTGGTAGCAAGGGATAGAAGGAATTCTCTTGAATCTGTTCCCCTGCATGATGCTGTGAGTGCACCACAAGAAGTGGGTGATGATGATTCTGTAGGCAGTGATTCAAACTGTTTTGAGTTGAACAAGCCTAGACACAGGGGACCTATAGCACATGAAGATGACATTTTAGACACTACTGTTGATGAGTCAATAAAAGCCAAGCAAACAAGGAAAAAGCCAACAAGTCGTGAAAGGATAAAAAGTCATAGTCCTTCTAGCTTGCAAGTGAAGCTTGAAGAACAGGTGGCTTGGGCCGTGCCAAGTAACTCTAACAAGAAGTCCCAATCAATTGATGCAGAAGCACAACAGGAGAAGACCAAAGATACAAAGGCAGTTGAAGGATTTGAACAGAGTGAGGCAAGGGAAGACAGTAATAATTTTGACAGAAAAAATAGCCCCCTTGAACTGCAAAGCTCCAATAAAAGTCACATAATCGACAATCTCATCAGAAGCCAAATTTTGGCATCAGAAAGTGGAGATGTACATGCCGAGAGTAGTTATGGGGAGGCTTCCTGCAGTAATGCTGGATGGAGGAATCAAGCAAGTCCCGTGCGGCAGTGGATGGCAAGACTTCCATCCCAAAACCCTGAAATCACCGAGTCTTCGAAAGCGCCCCCAGGTTTAAAGGAGAACACATTGAAAGCGAAGCTTCTTGAAGCAAGGTCCAAGGGACAACGGTCGCGTTTGAAAGCCTTGAAGGGGGTTGCCCTTTAAAGGAATGTGAATTGTGATTGCATGAGGAGTTGAGTTCGAGAGTTCTGGTAAGTTCTGAGTTGGCTGATGAATTTTAATGTTTTGGGTATTACTTATTGCGCCTCTGCCGCTTCCTTTCAGCTCAAGAGTTTTGCTGTGTTCATACTGTATCTGTAACATTTTGCGTTCTGGATTTAGTCAATATACTAGTATAGGCGTTGTCGTATAGCTGAAAGAATCAGGTCAACTTTAAAGAACAAAGGAAAATGTACAATCTACTATTCTGAAATGCAACTTGCAACATGGTGGGGTTTTCCTTAAACAAGTCCGACTGACTAGAAGCAATACAATCTGCGGCGAATCGATAATTTTGAGAATTGAGACCAACATGGCACAAATGTAGTCATCAACCGATGAATATGGAATTTATACAACGCAAAAATCCATATTTCATTTAAGAATAGCATGAGTTGGCATGTGTCTGTGTGCTCTAAAGGTGCAAATTAGTCAATAATCAATGAACACCATAAGTCGTCTGAAGGAGAGGGGGTGTTAATGGAAGGCTGGGCTTCACTCACCTCTCTTTTTAATTCTCAAAAACTGCATCGTCTTTAAACCCAGATGAAGCAATAGAAATATCGTTCACGTATACGTAACTTGCTTTCTGGAAGGCTGTCTCTCTTCTACTTGGCAATTGAAAGTTTACGCTTGACTTGTCATGGCTAGTGTAGTAGCTCAACATATTCATTAAGTATTGTAACCAAGGCAACGTGTCAATCGAGTTTCACAGCAACCAAACACGTTATGTAGATGAGATAGTCATCAGTATCTTTTTTCGGCAATTTACAGGGGCCGTTACCAACAATACAGTGAATAAATTAATGGCATATTAGGAGCTCAACTAGACGGTCCTTTAAAATACGAGACCAATGGAAGATTAATGATTCATAGCTGAAGATGGTATGAACCCATAAAATTAGCTCGCTATTAGGTTGCAGCTATTCGGTGTCGTGATGGGCACATGCTCGGCCTCGACGAGCCAGCACAAGATTGGAACTTTGGCAACAGTTTGTCCGATTTACAATTCTAGTTAATGTAAAGAGTCTTTGGAACGGTAACTAGAGCACGTTTGGGAGATGGAGAAAACATGTGAAACATTTCCTTCTCTGGGATTCCCTGAAATTATTGACAGTGTTTGTTCATCCAGATATATGACGGCGGTGCAGAGCGTATGAAGTAGCGGACCTGAGAATAGCGCAAAAAGGATAACAGTCAAGGGAAGATTGAAGAAGGGAAAAACAGAGATATCACCCGATTACCTGTCATATAGATGGGGTATTTTCTGTCCTCTGTATCCCCAAGAAGCGAAAGGAAATCCTCCTTTGTAGTTTTTGGCCAGGAGAGCTGCTCGTTGCTGCCTGCTGATCGAGTTCTCATCTTGTATCTTCAAAGTAAAGCTTGAAGTTTGGTGATTCATCTCGTTATGACCTTTAAGGATTAATCTGCATGTACCACACATGTTATGGTGTTTCCAGACGGAAAACAGGACACTTTTCCTTTTCATTTGCCTGATTGGTATGCAAATGGAGATACATAATTGCATGGAAGAATGGTGTTTTGCCCACTTCATAGACTGAAACGCGCTTCCTAGATGCAGTCTCAACATTCAAAATCCTGCGTGTACTCACTTCAATCAGGTTATAACTATGCCCCACTGAAACCTCTGGTGAGCGGATTCTCTGATGAAACAAGGGCATAGTATGAAAACATTGATTTCATCAATCACCAATAATTTATAATGAGAGAGAGAAGCAGCAATTTCTAACATTCAATGCATCATCTATGCTTGTAGCTTCAAGAATGTCCCGAGAAACAAAGTTGCGGCCAATGCCACCAGCCACAAACTCATCTTCGACCGGGGGCACTGAATTCAGTGTGAACACCTGGGCAACATACAACCAAATTTTGCCCTCTGAATAGAGTTGATTAACATGTTTTACTCTTCATTTCACTTGACAGTAAACAATCCCAATAAATAAATTTAAAAAATCATATCAGATTTTACTGATTGAAGGCACAGAAGTATTATTGGGTAGCCAAATCCTAATTAAATAATGGTTGATGCATGAAAACTTTTTACCAGTCCATGGCTATTGAACCCAAAGGCACAGCTTGGGAGTTCTCCAGCAGAAGTGTAAGCTATAAAGAATATTCCATTTGGCAGGATTCCTTTGATCAAGCAGCTGCGAGAGTCCACAGGGGAAACACGCCGGATAGTAAAGCCATTCCATTTACATTTCGAAGCTATTAAGCAGAGCATATAACTAAGGTTACGTATGGCCAAGCAATGCAACATTTGCATCCTCATCGTGCGCTGCAATGGCCATAGATTCTCCAACAAGAAGAACATCAGAACAGTCATCGGAGGGATCCACGTTTGAACTCTGAGCTCCTTGGGGAATAAAAGCAAGAATCTCCTTCCTGAAGTTAATGAGTAATATCTGCAGTAAAGCAGATTTTGCTTTCAGTGGCATTTGCTAGTACTAGAAGCTAAGAAATATGAAATTCACAGGAAAGTGAAACTTACATGAAGAAAAGGAACTTCGCTTCCTTCTGCAGTTCCTAAAAGCGCATCCCAGTAAGTGGGGAATTTGGAGCGATTGTTATGAAAGAGAGATTGAAGAAGAGAGCGTGATTGAGGGGTTTGAGCAAAGGGAAGGAGCTGATTTTGAAGAATGAGGTCATTAGCGAGCCTACTCCTTATCTGATTGGAGAATTTTTGGCCTATAAAGAAACCCATTTGGTAAGCATTCTCGCAAGGTCCCACTTGGAACATCTCAAGTCCTTCGTCTCTGGAGCAGGAGGAGCTTCCCATTTCGCCTCTGTTACGGGAGCAAAGAGCTCAGGTTATGTTACCCTCTTGTTTCTCTCTGTCTCGATTTGATTTTCATATGGAGCAAAATCCCAGCCCATTGGTCATTTACTCAGTTATTAATCAACTCCTTGCGATTGACTCAAAAATCAGCCTCTACTCAACCCTATCTCCATTGCTCAGAATTCTGTCTCTAATTTATAAAAAGAGGGCCTTAAATTTTTTTTCCTTTTTGCACCTAAATTGATACCATCGGCATTAATCAATCCAAAAAGTTACAAATAGTCCAAAAGAGAGTTCAAAACAATCTCATCAATATAAATATATAATCCTGGTAAATGGAGACTCTGCCCTACTTAATCCGCTCAATCCACCTCACATCAACAAGGGGATTTCAAGGGAAGAAAATGTAATATTTGTTCTTATCACTTCAATAATACATGAGAATTACACAAACTTTTTCACAGCTTCCAAAGGTCTTCCCGCTCATTTATTCGCTCCTGCTTGGAGACTGAGTCTTACTCCCACCTTTCACGTAGCATTACACCAAAACCTATTTCAACAAACGCTACCCTCGAGAAGCCCTGCATAATTAATTTTAGATAATGAATACATACTTTCAAATCCATTACAATATATTACCTCTGATATTTAATATAAAACTCAATTAAATCATTTTAAAATATTATATTTATCTTTTTTTTAAAATTAATATGCTCGACTCATAAACTAATACATAATCTAATGGTACACATAAATATTTTAGAGATATTATGTAATATATGTCATAATTAAATAATTTTTTGTAATTTTTTTAATTTTTTCAAATTAGTGAACTAAATTTTATATTAATGACTGAATGTAATGCAAAAAATTACTAATTGAAAAATGAATTAAAGGTATATAATGTCAATGTGAGTCCTGTCAAACTGACTTAAATTGTTTTGATAGAAAGACAAACCTAATATATACCTAATTCGCTAAAAATATATATGATATTGGAGCTCTTTTTTTTTTTTGGGGTACAAGATATTAGAGCTAGTTGATTTAAAGCAGCTGAGATTTAAACGGAGTAACAAGCCCATACAGGGGGGGGGGATGAAACACAGATTAAAAAAAACAAAGGAAAAAAGGAGCAAGAGGAATGTTAGGACGTATCAAAAAGTTACACATCGGTTAATCGGAGGATGAATTGAAGATATATAATATTAATGAGTCCTATAACATTGGCTTAAGCTATTTTGGTAGAAAGATAAATCCAATACATAACTAATTCACTGAAAATCTAGTAAAATCAAATGACTACAAAACGATTAGTAGCAAAATTAATTTGAAACTTTAGGGTGTATTTGGTTGGAGGGGAGGGGAGGGAAAATGAGCCCCTCCTCTCATTTGGTTAAAAATTTTGGAGGGGAGGGGAGCTAAAATGTCCCCTCCCCTCCCCCATTTTGGCTCCCCTCCAAATTGGGGGTTTTTGGAGGGGAGCCAAAATTTTGGACCATTATGCCCTTATAGTTTTTTTAATATTCCACTCCTACCCATAAAATATATTATTATAATATTTATTTCAAATAAAAAATATATTATCCTAAGTAAAAAATAAAAAATATATACATTATTATAATTAAAAATATATTATAAAAATTATTTAAAAATAAAAATTATTTAAATAAAAAATTATAATATATAAAATTAATTGTTTTTTATAAATATATTATTTATTAAATATATTTTAAAGCTGGAAAAAAAGATAGCCTAAAGAAAATAAAATTTCATTTTTCTTAGAGCATATAAAATTTGTTAATTTGATTATTTTAAATATATTATTATATTAATTAGAATAAAAAATTACTATACCAATTTTTTAATACACATATTAACATGATAAGACTGAATTTTTATTAAATTATATAATTTAAATTAAGATGTAAATTAATTTATATAATATATCAATAAAAAACATAAACTAATATGTAAGGGTAAAATGGTAAATTGATTATTACTATCCCTCCCCTCCCCTCCTTGAACCAAACAAGGGATCATTAAATACCCTCCCCTCCCCTCCTTTTTAATCAAACCAAACAAGGTGAGGATAAAACCTCCCCTCCCCTCCCCTCAAACCAAACAGACCCTTAGCGGTTATTAAATTGGATGCAATCTAAATGGGACAGAGTTTATGATATGCTATGTATTTGTTTTTTGGGAGCAAATTATGATATGCTATGTATAACATTATAAATATAGCCGGCACTAACTTTTAGTTACGATGAGAATCATGAATGAAATAAGCAGATATGAGTTAGTGCGATGTTAGACACACATAAGAGCGAATAATGTTTTTTTCTTTTCAAAGAAAGTTTGTAGATTATACAATACAAGGATATAATTCCAATTTCAATAGAAAATTCAATTTAAAGATTGCAATATATGTTTTTTTCCCTCTCGCGCTG